CAAGATTTGAAATTAATGGAATCTACCTCCATCTGGTTTGGTAAACAAAAGCGCATCTCTCATAACTATTGTAAGTTCATAGGAAGACAACTCTTCTCAAATTTTCAAAGTAAAGCATATGTTTCCAAGACAAGTAATTTATATCAAAATAAATTAATATTGTACCTATGGAAAATCCTGCACAATACACAAATTAAAGACAAAAACATGACTGAACATCATGCTGCTCCGGCATCACTACTATACATGTGCAGGTAACAGTGAATAGATGTGATAGTTAACATTTATGGACATGAATATGTCCACACAAATTCGATTTGATGAGACAAATACATGCTTTTAAGAATTTACTGAAAACATTAAAAAATACATAGTAACAATACACAAGTACAAACAAAAGTAAGCCATTACTTCAGAATATTCATTTACATGCTTTTATTCAGCTTGTGAAGATCCTTAATCAGAAATCTCTTCTTTCCATTTTCTCAACTACTGACTCCACTCAATGAAGTGCTATTAATTTGGCAATAGTGAAACATTAAAGCCAGAATCATGAAAATTTCAATCTTTGTGACAAATATCTTGGAAAAGTGCTTCGCAGCGAACATCAACAAGGTATACTATTGTAAGATTTATGCAATATCTAAATTTACTTAAAAACTGCTAAGCGAGTTCTTTTTCTTGTTGTGTGTTATTGTTGTTATTTAAGAGAGTTTCTCTTGTTTCGCCTACAGGCTAGATTTGAATTCCATAGCGCTCAAGTGTCCTCCCACCCCTTAAGCCTCCTGGACTACGTTGGGAACTATAGGCGCATACTATCATGCTTGCTCTGAAACACTTAAGCAGGTTTAGGAGGATGCCTATTGCTATAAGTGTTAATCTTGCAGATAGTACCAATAGTCAGTAGTATTTGAAACTAAAGCAAAACCTGGCCATTAAATGGTTGAGGATTAAATAGATTGGAAACAAAACATAAATTGATAAAGTATACATTTAATAAATGTAGAATAAGAAAATGATTACTGTTTTAACAGAGTCAGAATCTTGAAGTTGGTTGTTTAAGTTACACCCTTCTGGCTATAATAAGCTTCTTTCTAAGGAGCATTAGTTTTCCTGGCTAAAGCCATTTTTTTGGGAATTACATCAAAGACTAACATGGAAAAATTTATGGTGAGTTATGGTTTGCCTATTGTATAATAATATTACATCTGAAATAATTAGCAAGAGCATTTATATAGTACAAGCACTTTAAAGCTTGGGAATTGCAAAGATGACAGACCAAAATCTCTATTTTGCTTGGTGTTCGGTGTATCACCTTACCTGAATTGTAGAAAAGGTCAGGTCTTCGAGAATATCTTCCTTCGTGGATGTATGGCTCAATTCGATCATCCCCATACAAGTACTGCTCACTCTCATCCATCTGACGACTCTCTACCATCTCTAGCCACTGAGAGTTGTGGCCAACGAAACTTTTCACTCTGAATTTTCTTAGCCCATTCTTCATCATATTCCTATTGAAACAAATAGTCAACTGTTATGTAAGCTTACTTCCCTGGCACTCTGATAGCTATACTTTTATTTCATGAGAGGAGAACTTTGAGGGCCTTTCATTGGGCTAGAGGGAACATTAAAAATACCCATTCAGAATTACTTTATACATAGCCAACAAAAGCAATTAAATATATAAAGAAGTTTCTGTTTGGATTATTAATCACTAATGGCAATGGCAAACACTGAAAAAGTTTAAATTTCACAAATTTTTATTTAATATTATCTATTTCCAGAATTTAGGTGAGCAATCAGACTTCAACTTCCAAAAAGTTCTTGCGGCTCTAGTTACAGCTGATCCTTGAACAACCTGGGTTTGAACTGCGAGGGTGCGCTTATATGTGGATTTTCTTTGCTTCTGCCATCCCTGAGACAGCAAGACCAACCCCTCCTCTACTTCCTTCTCCTCAGCTGCAAAAGAGGATTGAGACTTTTATGATGAGTAGAGAACTTGTCTCTACCAAAAATAAATAAATAAATAAATAGCCAGACATAGGTGGTATGTGCCTATATTTCCAGTGACTTGGGAGGCTGAGGTGGGAGGATCACTTGAGCCCAGAAGGTCAAGGTTACAGTGAGCTATAATCAGGCCACTGCACAATAGCCTGTACTCTAGCCTGGGTGACAGAGCAAGACCTTGTCTCTAAAAAAAAAAAAAAAGTTATACACAGATTTTCAACAGAATGTGTGTGTGTGTGTGTGTGTGTGTGTAAGTCAGTGCCCCTAACTTCTGCATTGTTAAAGGATCAACTATATTTGTGGTAGTAATGACAGGTGGTTAGCATTAAAATGATACCCTTTGCTAATTTATTAGTTTAGTTTAGATGACACTAGGGGGGAAAAAAGCACTGTTAAATATTGAAGGATTTAACTGCAGAAATGGTTTACTATAGGAAAGAAATAGCAGAATTAAATTGAATTTTGTTCCAACCACAAAATAACAATGTTATCTTATTTAGTTGTAATTATTTTTTAAAATATCTATCTCTTGCTTTGACCAGGAACTACTGAAGAGCAAGAATGCGGTGGCTTATTCACTGACAGGTGTTATCGGTAACACTTATCACCAAGAAAGTTCTTGGTGAATGGTTTTGAAGTACTAACAGGCAAATTACTATAAGCTACAGCAGAACTGATAAATCTACCTACCTGTATTATAGGTTATGGCTACTTCTGACTAGTGTATTCACTTAACAATGGACAATAGAAATGATAGCATAGATGGAAAAAAAAAAGGTTGAAGATATTTCTTGTCATCCTAACCTTAGGGCTCTTGAATTTAAATTCCTCTGTCATATATTTAAGCACACTTGTTTATAGCTGTCTAAAAGGAGTTAGAGGGATGCAGGGCAATAGCACTGACAGATGGTCACAAAAACTAAGAGGTGGATCAAATATACATTTTAGTTAAATGCTGAGCAATTTTCAACCTAACCTAGGACTCATGTCAAAAATTGCCTTCACAGAATAAATTTCTTGGATGTAAAAATAAAACTGAAATTTTAAAATAAATGTAATTATTATTATAATTTTCTTGTTATGATTTTACTTTTTCAATTTTAGGTTTCACATTATCAATGAATCTCATAGCAGTGTCAGTTGTCAGATTGTGTGTTCTATACTGTGCATTTTTGACAATATATAGATGCTCCCTTTCAAGTGAGGTTGGTGAAGGTAGAAGATATTTTTTGACCGTGGTATTGCTAATGGCACTTTTGTCACCAAATTATTAAGCTTTCTTTCTTTTCTAATAGTTACCTATGAACACTTCCATTAGTTATCAATCTATTTCCTAATATAATTATTTAAAATTAAATTGTATAAAATTAAGAGCTATCATAAACATTAATTATTGCATTGTACTTTAAAAGTAATACACATTTATTATTCAATTGATAGAAATTCAGTATTTAAAACACTGAAGGAAATCTTTACCCTTAGTTACATCTATGATGCTAACCTATATTTGAAATTGACTATTCAGATATAAATAATAAATCCAAATGCTATATGCTTTGTTGGTATTATTGATGTGGTCACAGTGATTGGTAATTTACCATCACCACAGTGATGGTAATTTATACAATCATGCAATCACTGATCACATATACATTGTTCTGACAATATGAGATAATACATGTAATGCATTTAGAAAACATATTGAGAATACTTATAAATGTTAGACATTTCTGTTAATTTAAATAACAGCTCTTTGAAATAGGTACTGTAATTATCACAATTTTATTAATACAAAGGAGAAAATGAGGCCCAGAACACTAAAGTAACTTGGTCCAGGGAGCACAGCTGGTTGTGGCTATTACAGTACTCCAACCTTGGGCCAGCAATGTGGAAGAGGCAGTTAAACGGAAGATAAATTAATATTTGTTGGGGTCACTGTAGAATGGATTATTCATTGAATGAGAATATAATAAATGACCCCCAAGGTCAACTTTCAACTCTAAAATTTTGTAAATGGACTTTAAAGCTGACTAAGCAATAATATGAGAGGAAGTAGTTTCTGGTCTGGTAAGCATATTATACAACGCATTATGTTCTCTGTCTGGGCCATACTTGGGAAGGTACTAGGGAAAGAGGGAGCTGAAAAATAATATGCATGGAGATGGTGTAACAAGTTTTGTTGGCTACAGATTTTGGTGGTTCATTTTGGGTCTCCAAAATTAAATAAAATACTAAGTGATGACTAATTATGTAATACAGGCACTGTAATTAGCTTCAAAGTAATTTAGTATAAATGCTAAATATAAATTTGAATGTCTTTAAATTTTAAAAGTATACTTTTTTGGTACCATATGTGGTTCTATGTATGGCTCAATTAAAGTTAGCTGCAAAAAGATATTATTGCCATATTAGAAATGGCCACATAATTTACAAAGAATGATCATATATTACATACTCTTACAGTAGAATGGATGAACTTATTATACCCACTGAGGTAAAACATTTAATGCATAAATAAAAAGTAAAATGGTACTTCGGAGCAAGAAATTCTCATACTAATTGGCTTTTTTCTAAAAGATAAATTGGTCACAGATCATCAGAACTTCCAGAATATACTTTATAATACAAAAAAATCCTATTAAATCCACATTAAATACTTGAATTAATTTGAATGTTATTGTTTCTTTTAAGAATAGTAGCTTGTTTCACTTGGCAAGAGGCATAAAAATAACTTCATTTTGCTAGAATAATTTAAAATCTGAATTATCTGAAGAGGTATTCAAGGGAGATGACAGAAAAATACACGATCTGATTGTGTTATTATAACTTATGTTTCAATCATATTGATTCCTAGTGTAAGAATAGGAGTTAAAATTAAGTCAAGTGTCTAACGCACAGAAAATATATGGTTTGCTACTCCACTAAGAGTAAAACTTGCCTCCTACTAATACTTCTGAAATGTTATAGAGGTAGGTAATATTTTTAAAAATTCCTTACACTACATATCCATGTTCTGTACAAAAAAAATACTTACTTTGAGGTATCACTTTACACCCTCTTGTAAGATCTTATTATATATCTTTAGAATTTTTATTGTAATTTAACAACAAAAATACATGTCTATATGTTATATATATCTACAATTTGGATGTGTATAACAAAGAAGATTTTTTTCACAAACAATAGCCCTCCTACCTTCTTCTTATTACCCTACAAGCTCAAAGCAATCTTCTTATTAATGAATTTACACGTATAAGCCTGAGTTATAAAAGGGATTTTTCACTCTATTTGAGAAAAGTCCAAACACACAAACCAAAAATATCCATGAGCCTCTGTGGCTAACTTCTGGTACGCTCTTGGTAAACTGGTTTTCTAAGGCAGTGAGTTAGCCCAGAACCTAGCACCAAATGTTATAAGACTACTCTTACACATTCCTTTAAAATGTTCACTTTCTCTCTTTTATCAGTTTATAACTGAATTATCCTATAGAACCAGTGCATCTATTAGCATCATAAGCCTAAAAAGTAGAATAGTAATGGTACAGATTATACTGTCATTTTCCTCTTTAAACATTTTTTATTCTAATTTTAGGTATTTTTATACTATAAAACAATACATTTAATTTTTATGCCTAACATAATGATTAACATATGCATTATTGTTTATATGATCACAATGAAAACACTATGGTTGTTTTTAAGTTCTTTGAAAAAAAAGCAAAACAGCTTTTCCCTTAGGAAATATAAAGCAGAATGCTATTCTATACCAAATGTGTAATTATTTAGGATATTGAAAATTATGTCTTGCAAAAAGATCCAAAAATGCTTACAGAATCCTACTACAATGAATCCATTACAATGACAAGCAGAGTTTTCATAAGAGGTGGCCTTGGGATTTAATAGGTTTGTATGGCTCCTTGTTAGAGATCATAGATAGAAAATGGCAAAAAAACAAAAAACAAAACAAAAACCTTGACCAAACAGTATCAAGGCCTTAAAAGTTCTTGTTTTTAAAGTCTCCAAGAGTTTTAACATGACTTTATGAAAATAATATTTAGAGATTCATGATTATAAAAGTAATATTTCATTGTTGAAATTTGAAAATTATAGGAAAAATACCCATAAAACCTTTAGCTAGATAGAATCACAATGACTATTCATATATATCCCACCAGTTTTCATTGACTTTCTTAATTCCAATATAAATGGCTAACTTTGGGAAAATATTTTAAAATATGTATTTTTTAAGTTTAGGGGCTAAGTATAAGACATTATTAAGATATTACACTTGTGCCGTAAAGTTTGTTCTAGTTTGTGATAATGAAGTCTCAGGTTTTCAAATGTTTACCAAATAAATTACTGCAGAATGATATATGCCATGAGGAACACAATATTCATTTAAATATTTTTATTTCTTTTTTCTTAGTATTAAACATTAGTTAGAATCAAAAGAAATTGCATTGTTTTGCTATATGGTGCTGACCATTTGTTTCTTAAAAGGTTTA